GTTGATCCAATAGCTAATTCTCCTAACTAAACTCATAAGAATTGTATGGTTGACAACAATAAGAATTAACAAGGAGATCTTGTTAGTGAAAGGGTTAAAACATATGATCCCTATTATATAATTTTTGATTTTGATTGACTTGGCTATGCTTAATATTTTCCATCAAGGTATGAGGTGAAATTTCAGCAGGCGATGGAATGTGGTGGTGCTTATGTCAAACTTCTTTCTCAACAAGACTCTTTTGACCTGGTGAGGACACAGATAGCTATGTCTGCTCAGATTATGAGAACATCCATCGTTGTCCTACCCAGGCAACTTTCCATTTAGGACTACGCAATCAGACTGAATGATGAATTGTTTACCGCTTGGTTCAAAGCATTTACTGCAGAACTGTTGCATTTATTTATTTTCAATTTTCACCAGTATTTAAAATGGAAACTGCTGTGTGTTATGCCCTGTAAAGTGGAAGTATTGTGTGGTTATGAAGTGGTATGATTATGTATTTCATCAAAATCAAAATTGATTTCAAGAAAGTTTGTGCACAAGCAATGTTTTTCTTACTAATATCTTGCACAGTAAGTGATGTACTCCTTTTTTTTGTTTTGTTTTTTCCTAGAAAACTTTCCATGATAAAAGTCCATATACCATTATGTTTGGACCTGATAAATGTGGTGAAGACAAGAAGGTATAATTTAACATATTATTGAACTTGTGAATGAATACTTGCAAACCAAGCTTTTATCAATTTATGTTACCTGCCCTGATACTGGGAAAAAATACCTGCATTGCTTACAAAGGGGATTGAAGGAACTTTGTTAGCAGCCTATTGTTATGCTATGAAATAAAATAAATTAGGGCCAATGATTGACTGGGTAATGAAAAGCAAGTTTTCCTCTTCTCCCATGGTTTAAACACTTGATGCTTTTTGACATTGCTGTTCCTAGCTATATGCAAGATGCCTGTTACATACGACCCCAGTGACAAGATGAATAAAAAAAACATCTGTCTCTGCTAATTTATTTCTATGTTCAAAATTTACCATTCCTTCCATCTTATGTTATCTATAAGCACATGTCTATATGCACATGACCCTGTGGACATTACTGACCCTAGCAGTATGCAGGAAACTTGTCACATGTGAACTGCTTAACCACCTTCCTCACCATAGAGTCCCTGTGGCTCATTGGTAGAGTCATGCAGCATGGAAATTAAAGGTCTGAGGTGCAGTTGCTCATGGGGACACTTCTGACAAGACAATAAAAACATCTTCCTCATTTTCTTTTTTTTACTTTACCTGCTTTCAGCTACACTTCATCTTTAGACATAAGAATCCAAAGACTGGTGAATACGAAGAGAAACATGCAAAGAAACCTACTGGAAACTTCCAGAATGTTTTTGATGGCAAAAAGACACACTTATTCACCTTGGTAGTGAGACCTGACAATTCATTTGAAGTATTTGTGGACCAAACAAGCGTGAATTCAGGCAACTTGTTGGAAGATGTCACTCCCGCAGTCAACCCCCCAAAGGAGATTGATGATCCTAACGACAAAAAACCAGATGACTGGGATGAGAGAGAAAAGATTCCAGATCCTGATGCTGAGAAGCCTGACGATTGGGATGAAGATGCTCCCACTAAAATTCCTGATCCTGATGCAAAGGTTTGATTAGTTGTTCCATTTTTTGATACTGAGAAGACACTTTTTCCACAACTCTTTGCTGACAAGAACTTACTGTTAACCCTTTAACTCCCAGAAGTGATTAACATGAAACTTCTCCCTGTGATATCTATACATTATGCAGCACACAGGTAATGAGAATACTCCAACTTATCAGGTACACATGTAGAAGTTATCTTGATTCAACTTCAAATTTCTGCAACTAAATTAAAAGGTAATGTTTAGCAGCTGGAGGGGAGAATTAACAAGTCTTCTGATTTGGTGATTTTTTCTGATTTGAACTTTAATATATTTTGGTGAAGCTGTTACTCTTTGACATGATGGGGTTCCTGTTCATGATATTTTGTGTTAAAACATGCTGGAGCCTTAGGTCATGGATCAGTGGAAAAAAAAAACTCTCTCTGGTCATGTAGCTGAGATGAAAGTTGTTCCAAGCATCTATTTCTTGATTTAGAAACCTGATGATTGGCTGGATGATGAGCCAGAGTATGTTGCTGATCCAAACAGTGTTAAACCTGATGACTGGGATGAAGAGGAGGATGGTGAATGGGAGGCACCCCAGATTGGTGAGACTTGTTGTTTCAATGGAATGAGTCTTCCTCTATTTGTGAAATGAGGTTGTCTGTTTTCTTGGACTGTAGTAAATTTCCTCAATTTTCAGATCAGATCTGGGATCCATAGCCTATCAATACAAACTGTCTGGTAACAGTAGAATGAAAATAAGATCTTTTCTTTTTTAATGATGATGTTGTTCTTGATTTCAGCGAACCCCAAATGTGAGAAGAGTGGATGTGGGGAGTGGAAGGCCCCTTTCATAGATAATCCTGCTTACAAAGGGAAATGGTCCCCGCCACTGGTTGATAATCCTGACTACAAAGTAAGTAATGTGTGGATCAACACCCAGGTTCTCATTAGTTTATCAATATGGGTGGAGGAGATGGGTTGTGAGAGTTCAACAAATGATACTAGGTAAAATGGTTGAGCTCAAATACAATGATTTTGTTTCTCAAGTATTATGGTTTTGACAATGGTTTGTGCATGTGTACATTTTGTAGGGTATTTGGAAGCCAAGGAAAATTGATAATCCAGATTACTTTGAAGATAAGGAACCTTTCAAGATGACTTCCATTGTAAGTAAAATCAGCTGAATTCTTTTATTTAAAATTCAATGATTGTAACTTGAAACCAAACCTTAGTTTACTTTGTTTACAAAAGTCGTTTTAGATCTGATTTCTTCAGTGGGCTGATTACCTTCTGTAGACAATTGCAGAGACAATTTTATCATTTTTTCATGTATTTTGATAATTGCACCACAAATACAATCAAATTATCAATTGCATTTGGTTTTGGCATTCCTTAGGGGTGATCATTTATTACATTTTCTTGCAGTTGTGGTCTATTCAGCAGGCAGGTTATGACTGCTTTATTGAGCTTAAAATTCTCACAAATAGCCCACAATAAAAAAAGGGGCATGAGATAAAAGAACTCGTCATCTGGCCTTAGGGGAGAAAGTAAGAGTAACCAGCATCTAATTTGCCCATAACATTGTTACTGCTGATTCATTCATTAAGATCATGACAATAATGGAAATGATTGTCAACCTAAGAAGCTTTGATTGTTAAATGAATTCTCCTTGTTGTTAACAAAGGAAGTGTGTAGAGAAAAGTATGGAGAATTTGTATACTGATGTTAGAGTGTTAAGGTTTAATACAACTTGTCAGATGAACCAGTAACTAATGGTTTTAATTTTTTTTCCTCTCCCTCAGGCAGCTGTTGGTCTGGAACTCTGGTCGATGACTCCAGATATACTTTTCGACAACTTCATTATCACCAATGACAAGTCCGTTGCTGATAAGTGGGCTTCTGACAGGTATGGGGAATCTTAAATTTGCTTACTCAGAGATTCCTCCCTAGGATGTTGTTATGTTGTACTGTACAGGGAGGGTAACTAATTTTGTGTGTTTGTTTTGGCGTGTTTTTGTGCATGTGTCTTTGATCAAAACCTGATTTAGGATTTTTTTCTTTTTTGTACTGAAGAATTTATTTTTCTGTTTTAGCTGGGTGAAGAAAAATGTGAAAGAAACGTATGGAGGAGATGAAGAGGCAAATCTTTTGTTCCTTACTTTTGTGCCAAACAATTTATCTCATTTCATGATATGCTGTACAATCTTGCACTATCAGTTGTTCTCATCCAGGAAAAAATAGTCTTAAATGACTGATGACTGTGAATATATGTAAATCATATATGTGAACTGCAGATAAATAAATGTATATGATGATCTTTGCAGTAATGAACACTACTGCAGCATAAATTCTTAAGAATGTGTCTCAACAGTATTATTAGAGATTAACCACAGTTGTATTGTTGAGTCAATGAAGCACAAAAGGCAACTTTAAACCATGACAAAGTCAAAACAGATGCCAGTAGATGGGCAGACATGCATCAGAAAGGCAGACAGACAGATAAACAGACAAACCATCCAATAGAGCAACTGACTGACTGCCTGACAGATCAGTAGACCAACAGACAGACAGAAAGACTGTAGGGTAGATAGATTACATAGAATCCTTGACAGATTGTCAAATAATTGGACAGACATTGTGAAATGCAAGATTTGAAGTTGATTTCTAGGAAAAGTTGTTCTGCCTGTGACAAATAAAGTTTGCTAAAATGTTGTTCTTTGTAGTGAACTCTTTCCTTTCTTCTTCTAAGGGTGGAATTGTGAATAACTTACTGGAGGCAACAAATGAACGGCCATGGCTGTGGGTGCTCTTTGTCATTGTTGTTATCTTGCCATTTGTCCTTATTGCGGCCTGCTGTTTCCCTGGAAGCAAGGTATGTCCAAGGAAAATAAGGTATTTAGAGTGAAACTGTTAGTAGGTACTTAACTCTACTGGGAATAAAAAATGGCTCTTATTGCAAGAGTCGAAATAATCATTTACTTCTAGAGATTTACTTCAGATTCTGGCAACTAGGACTGTCTCAAATTTTTTTTAAAACCTTTTAAAGCCTAAGAGAGATCAACATCTAATTTCTTCTTACAGTGATATATCTGAATTACTAGATCATGAGAGCAAAGGAAATGATTGTTGGCCTAAGAAGCGCGAAATGCTAAAGAAATTCTCCTTGTCAGTACCAAACAAAATTTATAGACTGAGGAAATGATGGGGAGTGTGGATATTGCTGTTGGGGTGTAAAGGGCGATGGAATTTGTTCTGGGAAGTTTTTGTGTTATTCAAGTAGTAATTGACTGATGTTGGTTTCAGAGTGACGCTGCTAAAAAGAAGAAGACAGATGAACCAACTGAAGATGTTCCAGCTGATGAAAACGAGGAGGTGTGTTCATCAATTTCCTTCTGGCAAACACTTCTCAGCCTGATGCACATTTTGCCGCGATATGTGTTGTAAATCACTAACATGGTTTGTTATAACATTCTATGTACACAGGCAGAGACAAAAGGCGATGATGAAGAGGAAACAGCGGCAGGTGATGAGGAGGTGAGGTTTAATATTTATTTTACCCTTGTTATTCACTCTCTAGATTTAAATATTAGTTCTCTGCATTGTCAGCCAGACATTTCATGTAAGGACAGCTCTGAGAATTTGGATTTTAATCAAACATTATGTCTCCCAACTGACATTTTCCTCTCTTCTCGAACCCATTCTCTGTGGAATTGTGTTGATGTGGTAAGGCAAAATTTGTTTTTGGTTACACTGTCTTGGAGCTTAAGAGTTAATTACAATTATAATATGCTGAAACAGCTAAAAGCAAAATTAAACTGTGTATTTTAACCATCTTCATATGTTTTCTTCTTTCAGGCTGAAGAGAAAAATGAAGAGGAGGAAGAAAAGAAGGTGAGTAAAAATAAAAGTTTTCTCCCAATAATGTCTTCTTTAATTCCCTGACAAAGGAATTGGAAGTGAACCTCCTGCTGAATTTTAAGAGAACTAAATATATGCAATGCTGTGTCTTGGAATGTTTCCAACATGTTTTGGGTTGAAAAATGAATTAAATTTGGCTTTTTGATCCTCCAGGAGGCAGAGGGAAATGAGGAAGAAGAGCCAGCTGGCAAGGATGAGGTTGATGAAGAGGAAACTGAAAGGTTAGAAATTGAAAAAAAAAAAAAGTACTTGTTTTAGTGAAAGGTCTTTGTTAGGTTCCCCTATGACTGTGTAGCGAGACCTACTTAAAACTGCTTTGATGCAATCCTCATTGTTTTCAACTCATGTAAGCTCTCCACCTTGCTCAACTAATACTCCCACAGCCAGGAGTGACTGTTCATCCTGTTCCTCAATTTCAAGTGCTATCATATTGGAATTGAAGTGTATCAGTAATTTAACTCTTGTTTAATTTGTGTCATGTTTTGGATTGCAGGATGCCAACAAGACGAAGACCAAGGAAGGATAACTAATGTTTGTTACACAGTTCCATTCTGCTCTCTGCAGGACTTATGACGTCTCCACTGACAATGCTACAAGGATTATTGTTTGACAAGACTCTAGTTTGATTGCCTTATTTCTTTTTAGTGCAAAGGGCTTGTCTTACTGTGTGGACTAAAAGAAGCATGATATCCTTGGGAGCCAATCATTTTGGAATTTTGAAATGCTGTGCAGAACAAATGCCAGTCTTTTAAGTGGCAGCCCTTGCAGCTACAAATGTTGTTGAGACTATGTTAGGATTGTCAAATAGCTATACAATGAAGTCAGATGTGATTAATGTGGAATTATGAGGTGTATCTGTTGATGATGTTGCCTGTGCTAGATAAAATGTTTCCTTGTATTTGGTGTTGTTCGAAGTGATTTAAGAGAGGCATTTCTTTTGCATATCAAGATGTGATTGTAGAGCAGTTGAAATGTTCTCTTTTAGTTGTAGTTTGGAAATAAGTAAAGTGTGTGATTGAGCTATCTTTTTTTTTTTGGCTGTCTTTTTCCAAGTAGGTTATTTACTTAAAGGTATTGAAGTTGTTAGTAAAACCAGACTTCATAGACTCTAAAGGGTCAATAAGCAGTTAAACAAACACAAGGGTCTAAGAACAATTTATCAATCCAATTTGGTGGCTTGGCCTTCAAACTTGATGACCTAACAATTTCTGGTAAATAATTTACAGAAGGACAGTTGCATTGAGAGTATTTGATGGAACTGTTTGGAAAATGTACAAGGATGTTCCTCACATTTTTTTTTTTTAATATTTATTGGATGACTCAGGGGAGCATTTCAAATCATGCAGGATTAGGACAAAATCACAAGCTTATCCATGTAAAACAGCACTTGCATGGTGAACTAATCACAGTGTAACTTTTGCAATTGAAGTGACATGTTTAATTTGTGGCATTTTTCACCCACTAGGTACTTTTTTTTTCAGTTAGACCATCTACATTTTTAGTTATCTTTTACATTAAATATACTTGTGTTAACTCTTTAAAAAACTTGCGGCAACAGAATGTTGTGATTTTAATAAAAGCTTTCGATGGTCTCAGTTTGTCTCTTGAAGTATCACAATTAGTCCAAGATGTGACATAACTGTCTTTTTAGCTGCCATTTCTTCAGGTGTCATGCAGTTTCCCCCTCCCCCCCCCCCTTAAAAAATAGTTTACTTCTGGGGGAGGTATTGTGAGACATACATCCCCATAGAAGAGCTGGATGGGGGAACCGACAAAGGGAATCCTCCAGACCCTAACAGTGACCAGCATCTAGTTTCTCTACAGTGAAACTGGAAACAAAAATTAACCTACAAAGCTTTCATTATTGCACAGATTCTCCTAGTCAATACTAAGGGAATGTGTAGAGAAGAGTATAGGGAATAGAGATACTGATATTAAGATGTAAAAGGTTAAAAAGGATTTGAAAAAAGTGCAGATAGACAGGCCTCAAATTTGTCCCTACAGTGTCACTCTTGAATCAAATGGAGAATGTAAATATAAATGTTGGGGTATGAGGAGTGTACAGTGTAACAAAAGACTCAACCAACAGAACCAATTTAAAAAAACAGTTAATAATTATTACGATAAATGTTTGTTAACTCAGGTGTAGGAACTGGAACTTTCATCTGTTTGTAAATCATTTTAGGAATTTCCCAACCATTGCCCAAGTTGTTCAAAACCTGAGGAAAACGCCTCTCAACCAATAACACCACAAGATGAACATTTTAATATTACTACATAAATATCTGTACACACAATTGTTTGAACCAAAACTGTAATGAGATTGAAGAGGGCTGTCAGCAATTTCTTCCTAACTAAAGGCTAAGAAAAATCCATGAACATAACAATTAGTGATTGTGATTTCTCTAACATTTATATTTATTATATTTATTTTAATGGACAGATGACAGATAACATCATAAAGCATGAAAAAACACAAATTGTTCATACCACTTACAAATCGGAGTTTGAGGTATGTTTTGTAAGGAACCAAATTTTCTCTACTCAGATTAATGGCCCAGGCCGTAACTTGCGGTAAAGGCCAAGAATACAAGGTTTGGAAGATATATCTTTTTTTTTAACTAGGGGTTTAAATAGAGGGAAAATATTTCATTTCAAAAAAAAACTTTTGAATTTGGCAGGTTATACAGTGAAATATGGCCAACTAAATTGACCAATCGTAGCACATGTACTTAATGTGAGATATATATTAACAAACTGTTATTAATAATGTATGAAATACCTTGAATGTGCTTGTGCCTAAATTCTAAAAACCTTCCAAAGTGGCTATTTACAGCTACTATTGCTACCACATTTTACTTCAACTTACAAATCTATTTTAAAAATATCATACTATCTTGAATTACAAAGGAGACCTTGAAACAGCTTGAGACACTGGAAAGAGAAACTTTGACCCTTTAACTCCCAGATCAAATTTGTAATTCTCCTTACTGTCAACCATACAATTCTTATAATGTTTGTTCAGAGAATTTAGTATTGGATCAACTAATTATCCCCAACTTGATATTTTTCTTCATTCTCATCACCTATCTGGTTGATATTGTATTGATATCGAAAGGAGAAATTCTGTCTTGGTCACTCATGGGAGTTAAAGGGTCAAAGAAAATGGCTTAATATTTAGTTGGAAAAAAGTTGGAGCTTTTGGAAATATGCTCTTTAGTTATGGAATAATATATACTTTGTCAGAGCCTAAAATATCACCTGCAATGTAAATTATACATGAACTGAGACCAAGTTTAGGATCTATTAAATTTGAAAATATAGTTTTTTTTTTATCAAACAGCTTGATCAGATCAGTGTGGCTTAAGACATTTAAATAAATTTTGGTATCTTCATAACATTGTGAAAAAGGAACGATTTTTCAGTGAACACCATCAATTATGAATATTCAATTCAATAAACTTCTAGTTTCTCATTCAGGGTAGAACACTATATCACTAACAAGCAAAATATCTTCATCTACAATCTGCAAAAAAGATTTAACTCAAAGAAAATAAAGGAAAACAACCTCTGCACAATGCATGGAGACACAAAACTGAAAATGTGCAAACAATCCTTAAAACTTGTGAAATATGGTACAAATACACTGAGATTAAAATTCAACAGAACAGATATCAAGAAATTAACAATATTTATACACCTAATAATAAAATTCCATTTGTTGAAATCTTTCAATAATACATTTAATTCAAATTCCTCTACCTACTTTTTTCAGCGATAAAAATTACAAGTTGGGAAAATTGAGTGAATTTTTAACAAATATATTAAAAGATGTTTGAAAACCCTATTCTATGGCAACAGCACCAAATGCAAATATTTTATGTTCCAGCGCAGTACCACATCATTGCCAAGTTTGGTATCTCAGGGATAATTGTTTCGACCACAACATTTTAGCCAGAGAACTCTTGGATCTCTGTCTACTTAAGGCTAGTTTTCACCAATGTTGGAGTCTTAAGTAGACTCACAATCAGCGGAATTGGAAGCAAACTACTGATGCTTCATCTCAGTTGCTTTATATGATCTCGTCAAAATTATATATTAAAAGGTACGATTAGTTTTTACTGATGATCTATAGGAGGATTGATGCATAAATGATGTTATCAACAACACAACAGACTACATTTTTTTTAAACTGTTTACTTAAGAATCTTACAGTATATCTCCTGTTCCCCTCCCTGGTAAGAAAAAAAGAAATTCTCAGTCTCTCAATGTAAATATTACAACCTAATTACCAATTAAAAAATGATTCATTTGTGCACTCATACTTGAAAAACTCATTCCATAACACTTAACATTCACAAGATAAGATGAATGTTGTGTAGAGCCATCTGGCTGATTTTATGGAAAACTTGAAATTTTGTGCTAGTTCCCTTAAGATTCTGGGAGTCGAGTATCATCGTCAAAAACCTTTTTTGAAATATAATTTGTAATTTTGATAATTAAGTTATGGCAAAAATAAAGTGTTATGTACATCCATCCTTGCAGATGCATCTTCACTTTTGTCATCTGGCACCCTTTGGTACAATGTGTATCTGAAGAAAAAGAAAGGGCAATTGCAATAATTATGATTACAATATCAAATAAAAGATTATTCTTCTCTGCTTGTATAGCCTGAGGGAAGGATGCGTGTTTTTCAACCAGCAGGAAGATTTGAAACAAGTTGAGGAGAGGTCGGCTGTTGGTCTGGCACTTGACCCTTTGCAGACCTCTTGTCACCTCATATTGCTTAACTCTTTACACCCTAACATCAGCATCAATTTTCTCCATACTTTTTTTTATACTTTTCTTTTGGTACTGAAAAGGAGAATTTGTTTTTAAATCAAAGCTTCTTAGGTTGCCAATCACTTAATGAATGACTCAGTAGTATTACTGTAAGGAGAGATTAGATATTGGTCACAGTTTGAAGGGTTAAGTTCCTCAAGGCCTCCAACCATCTCAGAGACAAAAGAAAAACTTGCGTTGAAGTGCTACTGCATGTTTTCAAGATAACCATCAATAGTACTTGCATCACGTGAACACAGCATGATTTCCATGCACTAGTTAGAAACTTAAAACACTTTAACTCCCAGAAGTGATAAACATATAACACCTCCCCAGAATATCCATACATTATACAGCAAACAGTTACTGAGACTACTCAATTTATTGGGTAAAAGTTGTTATCCTGATTTAATAACAAATTCTTGTAACTAATTCATAAGAAAATGTGTAGCAACTAAATGGGAGAACTGAAATCAGATCTTGGAGGTTCAAGGATTAACATCAGGTCAGACTAAACACTCATCCTTACCTCACTTAGCATTATCCAGTTCAAACTGTTATGACCCAGTACGCGTACTCTCATTTCCACAACTTTTCCAATCTCTTCGGGTACTGTGCCATCGGCAAGACCAGCAGGTGTGAACATGCCAACACTTTTGTAACTGGTCAAAGGAAACTCATACTTCATGAAATTTTTCTTTGCTTCTGGTGATCCTTCCCTGCCAGGCTCTAAGGACAAATTCATGCTTTCACATCAGTACTGAGGAGTTGATTGCGAATAGACCCCAAACTTAGTGTTGATTATGTATTGTTACCTTGCAAAGAGTTTCTTGTCATCACCTTACATTATGTAATGTTATATGAGTAGCAGTATAAATATATTCAGTTGTCCGTGTTGTTTAGGTTACGTTAAGTTAAGTAAGTTAGTAGTTGCATATCTAGCAATTAAAGTTTTTCATGTTATTTTAAAAACATTGGTCTTTGCTTAAACACAACAAGCACCCATTTCAATCTTGGGTGACAAGAGGCACTGTGATGTTTCTTTTGCCCAAAAACACATCACAATGTTTTCTTTAGCCCAAGAACACATCACAATGACTGAGCCAGATATAAAACCCAGACATCTCCCCAAGGAGTCCAGAGCACTAATCACAAGGCCCCCACATTTCCCTAACAAATAATTATCAACTTTATCAATTCCGATTGACCTCCCTTTGGGAAAGAAGAAGAGGAACAAGAAAAAGGAAAGTTTAATTTCAAATTCTACAAGAAAAAGTGAACAAAGAGCAAATGACACACCTGGCATCTTCTTTGCCTGAGCCAGGGCCGTAACTGGAAGAACTTCCACTGAAGCATTCCTTATGATATCACCAGGATGCTCAAGATTTCCAGACTTGAAACGAAACCTGTGATTCCATAAGAAATTCAATTTCATCAGTGCCATTAGCAGGTGGATTCAGGCTCTCGTTAAATCAAAAACATTCCATGACAAGATCACTCCATTAAAGTAAAGGCAGAACTATAAAATGTTGGGAAACCAAAGAAAAAGGCTGCTTTTGAACATGAAAAGTATATTTGTCAGAATTAAAAATGTTACAGTACTTTTCTATTGTGATTTCTTGATCAAATTTGAATCTCATGACATCATCAGTATGGGGAGGGTAAGCCCAGAAGAATGTCTGCCCTTTGTATGCACGGTCTATGGTGTAGCCTTGATATGGTTCCAGTGATGAAATTGACACAGCCTTGGGGTTTAAGTGAGCTTGGAACAATG